TGAAGAGAGGGAGGAGAGATTCCTTAAGGAAAGACTGTGCTCTGGGAGGGGGTAGGTGGCGTCATTTCGGGGTGTAAAGCCATGGAATGCTGATTTGTAGGCAGAGTTGTTTAAGGAGGTCTTGTCACACTCAGTGGCATCCGTTATGATAAAGCCAATGGGCGTTTACACTCATCTGCCCGTTTCTGTCAAGACCCTATGGCTGAGGTCAGAACGATGTCCTGGGAGAACCAGTTACCTCTAACCTTCCCGTTCAGACACTGCCAGCTGAACTATGTGGAAACTGGCTCACAGACCCTGCTAAGTGCTGCAGCATGACAGCGTTTCTATGAATTTGTTGGTACATGTGGGACTTTAGCTCATCTGAGTCGTGGAACAGCAGCTGTGAAAGTCTTCTACTCACTCCCTGTCGAGGCTGGCCCGGTTTGCTACACAAACACGGCGGCCCTAGGACCATGGGGCTATTTCTGCAGATGCCCTCTGGAACCAGCTGCTCTGAACATGGTGGGGGTGTTGGAGCAGCAGTTTCTCCAAAGTCCACACATAGTTAAGGCTCTGAAAACAGCGCGACGCACAGAAATGATTTCAGATGCTTTTCAGTAGCCACTTTCATGCCAACTCTTTATTTCCATACTAGAAAATCTTTTATTTCCACCTTGTGTTCCCTGCTAGCACAGATGACCATAAAACCCAGGCCAGAAACGTTCACAGACTCCCAAGTGGCGCTGCAGCATGACAGCGTTTTCATGAATTTGTTGGTACATGGGACTTTAGCTCATCTGAGCTCTGTGGAACAGCAGCTGTGAAAGTCTTCACTCACTCCCTGTCGAGGCTGGCCCGGTTTGCTACACAAACACGGCGGCCCTAGGACCATGGGGCTATTTCTGCAAGATGCCCTGGAACCAGCTGCTCTGAACTTGGTGGGGGTGTTGAGCAGCAGCTTCCAAAGTCCACATGCCATAGTTAAGTGCTCTTAAAACAGCGCCACGCACAGAAATGATTTCAGATGCTTTCAGTAGCCACTTCAGCCAACTTTATTTCCATATTAGAAAATCTTTTTATTTCACCTTGTGTCTCCTGCTAGCACAGATGACCATAAAACCCAGGCCAGAAACGTGCTCTGTCTGCCGTGAACAGTCCAGGAGGCACTGGTTCTGCTGCTGTGGAAGTCACTCCTGACTGGGGAGGAAGGGACACGCAGGTGGTGTCAGTCTTGCTCAAGTAAACGGGCTGTTTTCCAAACACTGTGACTTGGCTATTGAGTGGGATACTCTGGTTTCCATTGGCACCTTCTCCAGTATCTCTCTCGGCAAAAGGAACGCTGCACTTTTTGGTTGTCTCTGCCGAGTGAAGACCCCCTTTTTATTCCCCAGCACTCTCGTCGGTGCTAAAAAAAACAAAAAAAAAGACACAAAGTGATTCAGATGACTTCTGATGGGTCAAGTTAGAACCACACTGGAGCCAAGGTAGGCACTACAGTGTCTTGGCTCTGTAGTCTTGTTTTTTTCTTTTTTCTCACTGTCCCCCAGGCTGGAATGCAGTGACAATCATAGCTCCCTGCGGCCTCAACCTCCTGGGGTCAGGCAATCCTCCGCCTCAGCCTCTATGAGCACCACCATGCCCAGCTAATTTTTTTTTTTTTTTTTTTTTTTTAGTAAGGACAAGGTCTCATCATGTTGCCCAGGCTGGTCTCAAACTACTAGGCTCAAGCAATCTGCCCTCCTCAGCCTCCCCAAAGTGCTGGGATTATAAGCACGAGCCACCATGTTCAGCCAAATGTCCTGTTATAGTTTCAGGATGCTTGCTGTGAAATGACAATTTATGGGTTGAAATATTTAAACACCACTGCTCTGCTCCAACACTCAGGTTTCCTGATGTGTTAATTCCTCGTTTTCTACTCTGTTATGGGAAAAACCCAAAACAGTGGCTGGGTGTGGTAGCTCACGCCTGTAATCCCAGCGCTTTGGGAGGCTGAGGCAGGTGGATCACCTGAGGTCAGGAGTTCGAGACCAGCATGGCCAACGTGAGGAAACCCCGTCTCTATTAAAAATAAAAAAATTGGTCGGGCACAGTGGCTCATGCCTGTGTAATCCCAGCACTTTGGGAGGCCAAGGCAGGCAGATCACAAGGTCAGGAGTTCAAAACCAGCCTGGACAATATGGTGAAACCTCATCTCTACTAAAAATACAAAAATTATCCGGGCATGGTGGTGGGTGCCTGTAGTCCCAGCTACTCAGCAGGCTGGAGCAGGAGAATTGCTTGAACCCAGGAGGCAGAAGTTGGAGTGAGCTGAGATCGTGCCACTGCACTCTAGCCTGGGTGACAGAGTGAGAGTCCATCTCAAAAAAAAAAAAAAAAAAAAAAAGCACCAAAAGTTTATCTTTTACTTGCAAAAATAAGGTTTACATGCTGGCTTCCCAGCTGTCTGGTAACTAGGTAGGCAGAGGGCTGTGGGTATCTGGGACAGTTACCCTTGAAAAGGCTTGGGTCTTTCTGAAGAGATAGCACCTAGTGGGAGCCAGGGTCCTGACCAGCCACAGGTGCCTACATGGGACCTACTCATGGAGTTCAAAGTCCTCTGGGGCAGGGCCGATGTTCAGCTTGTCAGCACCCACCACCAGTGGTCATCAGGCCTGAACTGAGGCTGGTGGGAAACACAGCTGGCAAAGACCCGTCAGGGCTGTGCTCTCAGGACATTCTCTGTCCCCAATGAGACCACCACTAAATGGAAATGTTAAATGCAAAGGAGGCCTTCCCTACCAAAAGGTTCAAGACTTTCTTCCACGAGTGAACACAGGCACGGCCAAGTACTTCGTCAAATGCAGCCCTTACAACACCCACAAGGTGGCAGCATTATCCCCACTGGACAGGTTCATGATAAGCTTAGGCGACTTGCCCATCGTGATGCAGCTCATTTCTTTTTTCTAAGATCGAGTCAGCTGGCCACAATGGCTCACGCCTGTAATCACAGCACTTCGGGAGACCCAGATGCATGGATCCCCTGAGGTTGGTAGTTCAAGCCCAGCCTTACTAACATGGAGAAACCCTGTCTCTACTAAAAATACAAAATTAGCCGGGTGTGGTGGTGGGTGCCTGTAATCCCAGTTAATTGGGAGGCTGAGGCAGGAGAATTGCTTGAACCCGGGAGGTGGAGGTTGCAGTGAGCTGAGATAGCACCACTGCACTCCAGCCTGGGAAAAAAGAGCAAAACCCCCTCTCAAAAAAAAAGACTCTCACTTTATTGCCCAAGCTAGAGTACAGTGGTCTGATCTTAGCTCATTGCAATCTCCATCTCCCAGGTTCAACCGATTCTCATGCCTCAGTCTCCCAAGTGGCTGGAATTACAGGCATGTGCCACCATGTTCGGTTAATTTTGTATTTTTAGTAGAGACGGGGTTTCTCCATGTTGGCCAGGCTGATCTTAAACTCCTGACCTTAGGTGATCTGCCCACCTCGGAATTACAGGCATGTGTGCCACCATGTTCATAATTTTGCATTTTTAGTAGAGACGGGGTTTCTCCATGTTGGCCAGGCTGATCTTAAACTCCTGACCTTAGGTGATCTGCCCACCTCGGCCTCTCTCAAAGTGCGGGATTACAGGCGTGAGCCACTGCGGCCCAGCCTTCCATGCCTATTTTCTTATTGCGATAATCTCACGCGCTGTCCACAAAACTGCCATCACGGATATCCCCCAGAAACCATTGTAGCTACGAGAGAGCTTCCTGTTTCTCCTTTTCCTTTCCCTCTTCCTCTCTCACCTCTACCCTGTTCATTCATTCATCCTTCCACTCTCACTTTTTGCTTTAGCTTCTTTCAAAGGCCTGTCTTCCCCGGTAAGTAATATAATTCCCACCATTACCATATCCTTCTCCAACCCACCAAACTGCCATCCTGAGTTTACAGTAAGTCCATAAACTAAGAAATGGGACACATTCATTGCGAACATGACAGCCCCTCATCTGTCCCCATGTGAGAACACAGATCTTATTCTCTTTGAAGACCAATTTTGTTTTTTAAAGGCAGGTCTCGCTCTGTTGCCCAGGCTCTCGCGCAGTGGTGCAATCACAGCTCACTGCAGCCTCCAACTCCTGTGCTCAGGTGATCCGCCTGCCTCAGCTTCCCAAGCAGCTGGGACTACAGGCACACACCACCACGCCTAGCTAATTTGTTTTTGTAGAGATGGGGTCTTGCTATGCTGAACAGGCTGGTTTTGAACTCCTGGCCTCAAGCGATCCTCCCAGCTTGGCCTCCCAAAGTTTTGGGATTATAGGCATGAGCCACCATGCCCAGCCTGAAGACTTTTAAATGCTGCCTCATTCAAGATGCGTTGAAACTCACCTGTATTCACTTTCGCAAGTGAGTAATGTACAACAGCCTGAAATATCTTAAGCTTCTCAGGCTTTGTACCCTACTATGGAATAATGAGTGTTTCCCAAAAGTAAATCCATAATGAGGTCCCGTTTTTCCTTCCTCCCTGGCTATGAAATAGACAAGAACAAGGCAAGCTAGCCATTTCCGTCTCACCATAGCTGACTCTCCTGTTTGCTTTTTGACCACATTTGGGAGGCGGGGGCCTGACTGCTTTCCTGCTTCCTAAGCACAACTTACTTTTCCTACGAAATTCTCAACACAACCTACATGGATTAAACCAGCTTCCCCACTGTTTCCAATATTCTTACAATCGAAATGGCCAGCATTGGCAAGGCAACCTGAAAAAATAAGGACGGGTACCTTATCCCAGGAGCCAAACTGCCACTTACACTGTTCAGTCATGAAATCGGCAAAATTCCAGATGAGCTCTCCAACCACGTACTTTCTGCGTTTTTGATCCAGAACCACATGGTACTGCTCTAGCAGACTCTTCTGGTACTCTTCAGTGAACATCAGAGGCGGGTCCTGGGATTCAAGGCAAAGAGAATAAGAGTCAGAACTGGCAGAATTGTAAAGTT